ATTATAGAGAAATCCACTTGTTACGGATATGATGATCTTTTTTCAGAATATTTGATTCCGAAGGTTTGCTCCACTGGTCGCTGCTTATGACGATGTGCTCCATATGGGTGATTTCTGCATCGTTCTACTGGCTGTACGCTTAAAATCAACTATTCTATTTTTCCTTTTTCAAATAATTTTTCAGTCTGATTCTGACGGATCCTGGTGTGATGCCTCGCTCGAAAACCCCATTAAACGATTTCGTAGAGCATCTGGAGACAAAGAAAATCGAACGATATTGTTTTACGTGTTGGATTCCAAAGACTTCAAACTCGCATCACTGCTCCCAGTGTGATAAATGTGTCGATGGATTCGATCATCATTGTCCATGGATTCACAAGTGTGTCTATCGGAAAAATCTTCGATTCTTCGTCCTTTTCTGCCTCACCAACTTGATATTTGACGTCATCTATGTTCCAGTTTTGATCAATATGATTGCTGTTTCATGGAATACTGTTGGATTCAGTGGGTTTTCAAGTACTAATCACTTATTCAGATCATTTTTAGGTCAAACCCTATCCGATCATGGAATCATGGTTCTCAGTCTATTCTTCTCAATCCCTCACGTCATCGGAGCCGGAGCCATCACCTACACTCAATTCTCACAGATTTCTCGTCACATCACCACAATTGAAATCATTCGGAATAGCAGAGCTCAACAGGATTCTGATAAGTAAGTTTTCTTCAAAATTATCAGATTAGGAAAAAAGAAATTTAGATCCACTAGTCCAACATCCGCATCGATTTACAACCCATGGGAAGACAGTCCGAGTATCAAGACGAGAGTTCGAAATGTCTGTAATCTTCTAGTATTTGATCGATTCGGAGGTGATGAGGATGGTAGTCTGTGTGAGACGACGTCTGGATCTTTTGAAACTTCAGAATCTCACATTTAATTATTCTATGTTTTCTGTCTAGTTTTTCTACCGGTTCTAATATTCCTATTGTGTTTTCTTTGTCTTGAAATGTGCTTGGACTGGATGGAATAAAATTTTCTTTTCCAATTTTTAAAAATTTTTTCTGTTTCAAAAATCTGTATTGTTTCATTGAACTTCATATCAACTTATTCGAATATGTCCTTATTGATTTGAAACAGATGTTATAAAAGCCATATGCAACGGCCCCAGATAACTTTTGAGCAATCCGTTTCTGACCAAATCTGTAGACAACACTTCGGATACCTTCTGTGCATCCTTGCCAAGGTTTAACTTTTTCAGGCTAAAAATCTTTCGGCCGGATGTTTTGAAATTTCAGAATCTCACATTTAATTATTCCATGTTTTTTGTCTAGTTCTTCTACCGGATCTAGTTTCCTATAGTGTTTTCTTTGTCTCGAATTGTGCTTGGACTTGCTCAAATAAAATTTTCTTTTTCAATTTTTTTGAAAGTTGAAAGTTTTCTGCTTCAAAGATATGTATTTGTTTCCTTTGACGGATCTTCAACTAATTCATTGCGACCGTTCGTTTCTGACCAAAACCGTAGAGGATACTTTGGGACCTTTCTAGTACATCCTTATTCTAGGCTGATCAGCAACCGACTGAGAATGTTCAAGTTCTGACACGTTCGTTCCTTTTGGGGATAGTTCTGATATGTCATTCCTTGAAAAGCATCAATCCAAGAACAAAGGTGATTCGCGAACAATCCGTTACGGATTCTCCGCCATTCGCGCGCGGATGAAATAGGAATCGTATACGGACCGTACGCGAATCCGTAACAGATCCGTTTCCGACTCATTCTTTGAAAACCCCCGCCGCTCCTTTTTTCAGTTTCTCCTAATTTTTGCTGAGTTTTCATGATAGTTGTAGACTTAGTATTCGAAACTTTATTAAGAAAACATATAAGAAACAACAATCAAACGTACAACAAAGTTCGAGAAACTATGAAAATCTTTTTTTTTGTTGAACGACCAGCCGGAACCAGAGCAATCTGAAAAAAAATTGGGAAATTTTCCGAAAATGCAGCATACTGTTTACCTATTAGTTATATTTTTTGTTTTCCGCGTTCTGAAAATTGTCCCATTTCCAACGTTTTGGTCGGTAGATGTTTAGTAGATGTCCATCGCTGAAAATTTGAAAAGTCACTATTTCGAAAACTAATGTGGTTTGCACTTACCTTAAGCTAGCAACTTGCTTTCTGCAAAAGTGAGCATCAAATCAATATTTTTTGTTCCTTTTGCTCACGGAGAGGTTAAGTGATACCTATAACAAACCCTATGTTTCGAAGAATTACTTTTGTGTTACAAACCTTTTTTCATCGTAGAATCGCCTTTCGAAAGTTTTGATAGACAGAAATCGACTCAATTGCCGAGAAAAGTTGGAAAAAAAACGGCAAAAATAGATTAAAAATACAAAAAAAAAGATGCAAAAATATGATGGAAGAGTTAAGAGAAAGCTAGTCCCTCACAACTCGGCCATCCGGAACGGATCCGTTCGCGAATGGGCATGGGAACTATCTCTCGACCTCCAGATGCATCCGTATCCGGTCCGTTCGCGAACTCCGTATCCTGTCCGATTGCGAATGTTGAAAAAACGGATCCGTTTGCGAACTCAGATTCGCGAAACTGCCCGTAACGGACCCGTTACGGATAGAAAACCTAGTGGACACCGAAACGGATCCGTTCGCATTTTACCTGTGAACGTACATGAAGATGAAATACCCTTTTCTACATAATTTTCCCATCAAACATGAAACCCTCAATACAGTTCAAAAGGAAGAGAAGTCGCTCAAGTGGAAAAAGAGTCATTGATACTCATTGAGACGGGAGCCCTTGTCGGCGAATCTCTTTGTAGAATGTCTGCGTCTCTTCATCTCTTTCACTATTTCTCTCATTTGTTACGGTTTGCCGCCTTCCGATTTACCACAAAAGAGAGGAAGAGACACGAATGAAATTTGACAGATACACATGTCGAAATGGTGTTTTGGGTAACTGGTGGCAAGATTAATGGATGCATGGAGAGGATTTTCGCGGTAAATGTCCGTGAAACCATTTCACACCATTTTTTTGCCTTTTGTATGAAGTACTGTATGAAGTTTTTGAAGACCCTTGGATTTTCAGTCTTCGCTTTTTTTAGAATTTTTTATTCGAAGATTTTATGTCGAGTTTTTGAAAAATTAATTTTTCAAAGTTTCAAACACGATGGAAATTCGTCAAATTTAGTCTATCTCACAAGGGAAGGTTTTTCAGACAACGGTTGAGAATTTGCTCAAAATTTGTACAAAGGTACTTTCGATCATGCTGAATCCGAATCCAAAAAAAATTTTAGCCCGTTCTCAAAAGGAGCCGAAATATGGCCTCTGAAAGTGCTTTTAGTACTAAATTTTGGCCAAAAACATGCATTTTTCGAGGTTAAAAATAAGTTTTTCAGGATTGGCTTGAGTGCGAAACTCATTTTTGGACATTTTTCTATCTTCTAAAGTAACTTTTAAACATTTTCAAAAAAAAACGTTTTTTTTTTATTTTGAAAAAAATCACCATGGGGTACCCCACTTTGAAAATGATTTTTTGAAAATTTTTTGAAAAGTGCGAAAAAACGTTACAAATATTCAGAAACGATAAAAATAGCATTCTGGCAAATTTTTTCAGTCCAATGTGGTCTTTGGGCTCAAAAAGGGTCGAACCAGCATAGTCAATCCTAATGAGTCACCCTCTTACCACAACACCACACAACCGATATTTTCCTCTCACGCGGAATTGGTGGAGGAGGGAAGGGGAAGCCGAAATCCCCAGCGCACCGAAATCGGCCCAAATTTTCAGACAAAGTTTTTCGGCCCGGGAATGAGAACGGGCTAAACATTTTTTTGTCATCGTATAGAGCATGTCCTAAACTATAAGTATGCAAATTTTGAGCAAATTATCAACCGTTGTCTAAAAAACCTTCCTAGTCAGTTTTCCATTCGATAGAAGAAAACTGGAAAATTCTCGAATTTTTCGCTAAAAGGGTTTTGAAAGTTTCAGTAATAAGAGTTTTTAGTTCTGAGAATTTCAAGGTATTTGAACAATATGACATACCGTATTTTCTCCTAAAAGTGCCACCCAAGACGTCTACATTGAGCTCAAATATCTTGATTCCTGTGAAAGATGTCAGAAATTTGTCAACTGATAAACTGTTTATCATAAAATCACGAATATTTTATCTGTTGGCAAGTTTTTGACATTTTCTCAGGACCCGAAAGAATTGAGCTCAAAGCTGATGGGCTGGGTGGGCTTCTATTGAAGAAAATACGGTAACTTTTGAAATCTAGTTTCTAGTATTTTCCAATATAATGTCATTTTCTACAAACTATCTGTATTTAGCATAGGGCTACTCAAAAAATCCTAAATCATCCTAGTCCGATGATTGCTGGAACTTGAAATTTTTTCTGTTTCAGTAAATACATAATTCCATGTTATTATGGAATACTTCAATGTTGCTTCGTACAGTGGTTTTACTTTGATTTTTAACTTCCACTCTAAAGAACTTGCTTTTTTTTTAGGAAACTTGATCAGTTACCGTTTCAAAATCTCATTTCAAACTGTTATAGATTCTGCTAAAGTATTCAATACAATCTTATTTTGAAAATTCAAATCTCCCAACTTTATCACGAAATCACCTTGTTCTCAAAACCATTCAGTCGTAAATACTCCATCACTTCTTGAATTCAGTCATCAATGCGGATTGAGAAGATCGGAAAGATAGATTAGCATCTTGATTGACACCTTCGAAATTTTCATTCGTGCAGAAGAAGGGAAGACAAGGTACTTTTGTGATTGGTGGGGGCGAGAAGAAATATGGGTGGATAGTTTTGATCAGAGATTGATGGGTGTCTAAATGGGTCAGATGGGAATTGATTCATACTTTTTTCACAGAAAAGCTTCAAGATTGGAAAATTTTCAATTTATCCTGTTTCAAAAATGTAACTAGAGTATGAAAAATATATTTGGCATAATGAAGGGTCATAACCTGGAAACTAACTGTAAAAATCAAGGTGACACCTTACCCGAATGCCACATCCCAATTCAATAAACCGTTCGATCATAAACAAAAAATTTTATGATCCCGAAATTTCGTCCTTCACCACGATATCATTGACATTGATGCCCAAATTTGCAAGGCGATCCTTCTCTCCTCCCCAATTCGTCTCTTTCATCACTCCGATCACTTCTCTTATCTGTTTTTATCTCTATTTCCAATCATCTCTTCTCAAGTACTATCTTCTTCTCCTTCGGTTTCTTGTCAGTTGAGTCAACTTTCGAAAATATCATTCTTCTTCTTCCGCCCTCTTTTGATATCGAAATGAGTCACTTAAGACAGTTCCAAAAGTGTGTTTATCCAATTAGTGACTAAGTGTTTCTACAATACTCAAAAAGTTTATGAAAGGATATCTCACATTCTGTCTTGTTGAAAAATCATAAGGTTTTTGGCTTAGAGTAGTGTTAAAAGAGATATAAAAATTTTTATGAACAGGTATATTTTTTTAAAAATTTCCCCGTTTCGAGAGGTTTTATGAAAATTGGTTTAGCTTGTAAAATTTGTTGACCGCACTCTATTATTTTTAGAGAACCAAACATTCTCTATGTCTGCTCTATCGAGAATATTCAATAGGTTCTGAAACTTTTGGATGTCTCTGGAAACATATCTCCTTCTTATATTTCACAATCCAGTAATTCCTGTCTTGTTTTATCACATCATGTTCTTAACACAGTATCTCCTCCCTCCTCATAAAACAGCAACAGCTTCTCAACGTCTTCTTCGTCTCCAGAAGATTTCATAAATTCTCTGGATGTGTTGCCCCATGAGAGGATACAAAAAGAAAAAGACAAAGTGTTTTGTTTCTGGTCGGACTCTCCGAGCAAGCAACAAAATGAAATGTCATGTCCTCTTTCCCTTCTCCCCGCCTCCTTCATCCATAAAAGTGTCCCCTACTATCCGAAGGTCCCTTTTTCCATCCATAATTCTCTTTTTCCATGTCTTGTCGTCGCCTTCTTGACACTCTCAGCTCACTTGTTGGTCATCGAAAAACCAGTAGAAGGACGACGACAAATATTGAATGTGCATGTTTATTTGAGTGTGAATGTGTAAGAAGGGGAGCTCGGTTGGTCCCACTTGATTTTATTTTTAGTTTTCGCATGGATGCCTGTTTTGAGTTTAGAAATGAACATGTTAATAGTAAGGACCGATTGCTGAAAACTTCATATATTTGTTAAACCAACTGTGTGAAACATAGTTTTCATTAGCTTCAGCGTTCACCAGTTTTTTTCATTTTTCCTGTCATTTTGTAAAACAACAGTATAAAATTAACTTCCACAATATAAAATTGGTGAAACAGTAAGATTTTCGCAATTGATACAATTTCTTCTATCGCTTCTAGTGTCTTGAAAAAATCCCAATAATCAAAGTCAAGAGCCCAATTTTTTCTATTTTTTTTCCCAAAAGTTTTAGTACGCTCATGTCGGATTTATAAACTCCCACTTGATTTAGTTTTAGCTTTGCATGCATGCCTTATTCGATTTTGGAAAAACCTGTGAGGGATTGTTGGGAACTACAGATTTGTTAAACGAACTTTGTGAAACTTTTTTTTTTTCATTAGCTCTAACATAAATGTTGCGTCATAGTTTTTCTTGAATATGGCACGTATGGTGGCAATCAATCATAATGTACAAAAAATATCAAAAATGTAAAATCGCTGAAACAGCAAGCACTTTGCAGTTTACTCCATTTTTTCTGTACCTTCTGAAATCACTTTAAAAAAATCACAATCATTAAATTCAAGGAGTGCAACCATAGGAAATTAAAAATTTTTTTTTTCAAATTTCAAACTTATTTTCGAAAGCTCGAAAGTCGTTTTTATTCTATGTGAAGTGGTTTGCTGTCGACCCAATTTTTTCTGTTTCTGAAATCCTTCAATGTTCGCAATAATTTTTTATTTTGATTGTTTTTTTAACCCCAATTTTTAAAATTTTTTCGAAAGAATCGTTGTTTTTAGGTTCTTGTTAAAACTGGGGAATTTTTCGAAAAATCAGTTAAACTGATGACAATTTTGTATTTTGAACAAATTATTCTTAAAGGTGGGGGGATATGAAAAAAATAATGTTCTCGAAATTCCGTTCAAAGATGCCCCTCGAGGAGTTGAACTTGTGAGGGTGAGGATTGAGGGTGCGGCGCCGCTACCGACTGAGTCACGCGGGCAAAGAGAAAGCGCACGCCCGATTGCATACATAAAGGCGAGGACGACAGCTGTACGCAGAGTGACATTAAGCGTTGTACACCGTGACGGTAGAATGCATACTCTAGCTACAAAAAAACTACGAAAAATCTCCTGTCCCCCCACCTTTAAGAAAAAATCCGGTTTCATTTAACTCCAAATACAGTAAAACCTGTATCAGAAGGGCTCTTTTAATAGAATGGTCCTCTGTAATACAAGGCCCCTTCAAAATGTGTCGTTTAAAAATTTTTGCTTGCAAAATCAGGACCCGGGTTCTCAAAAAGGAAATTTCAGACGTTTTTTCAAGATTTTTTGTGAAAAAATGTTTTACTTGACCGAAAAATTGCCCATTTTTTCTATTGGTCCGAAATTTTTTTTTTGAAAAGACAGGAATATTTTTTCTGAAAACCCGGGCCGAGACGGACCGGGCCGGGCCCTGAAAATTCTGAAAAAAGCCCGGCCCGGCCCGTTGCAAGTATGCTTGGAACAATCAAGGATCGGTCCTTCTAATAGAGGTTTTACGGTACGTAGAATTCTAGAAACGGATCACGTATTACCGATTCCAATTCTGTAAAAAAGAAATGCGGATACTGAAACAGAATTTTTAGAATTTTAAAACTATCTTGCTGTAATTTCCCACTTCGATCCCACTCTCTCGCTCCAGAAAATGATCATCAAGTGGTCGTATACATTAACAAAGCGCGGGTAATGGCAGACAGTGTCCTTCAACCGAACCCCCTACAAGTCCCCCTATTCATGACGAACCGATGATGAACCACAAAACTACTATAGAAATAGGAAGGTAAACTAATTGAGATGTACACACTTTTCTCGTTCTTCTTTCTTCTTTTCTCCTTCTCTCTCGAATCGGTCGTACACCCCCTAATTACATGCCTAATTCGGTAGATCTCTCTTCAACACCTGTCCTCTGATTCTCTAAAATCTCTTATTGTTTTCTTCAACTAAAAAAGTGAAGGGGTAGGATGAACGGAATCATAAAAATCCAATAATCGTTAAAATGATTTCTTCATCCATCTTCTATTCTCAGTTCCGTTTTTAAATCGAAATGGATTTTGGAAATTGTGGTGTTGTACAAAAAGACATTTGTCATATTTTTCCAGCTGCTCCGGATGCTATCTCCTTGTTTCCCATGCTATTTCTCTCTCATTTTGGATTCTGATTTCCTATTTTGTCGCACTCATTTCCCACACAACACCTTTTGTTCATCATATTTTCCTCTCGCTCTCTCTCCATATTTATGTTAATCCTCATGTAGTTCCAATCGATTTCATAATCTTCAAGCGAAGGTACTTAGTTACCTGGAAATGTGTCATTTGAGTTAGTCATTCTAAAACTTTCGTTAGTTTCATTAAGTTGCAAAGGATCCATCATTCCACCAGACTATCAAGCCTTCTATCTACCTAACGAAACAGTAAATTATTTTCTCTGATCCCAAAACCCATATTCTTAGCTTCCATATTTTAGTTGCTCTCTTCGTTTCGTCAATTTCTAATTGAATTTGAGAAGAGGAAGAAGATGGAGCCATCGTTGCTCCGTCCGGCCCAAGACGTTTCTCTTCGCTTCGCATGTCAAGTGAAAACCAATGTCAGGCTCAATTTCCCGCATCTTCTTCGTCGTCTCATCCCACTTTTGCCTCCTTCTTTCAAAAGAAACTCTTTTGTTTATTCCCACTAAAAATAGGAGAAGTCCCATTCATTTTGGTGTTTACGGTGAGCTAGAAAATAAACTTGAGAGCTATGTTGAGAATTTGATAAATTGAGAACTTGCTAAAACTCAGTCGCACAGTGTCAACTCACACCAATCTTGTAATAATACTTGCCAGGTGAAACCGTATTTTATTTGGAAAATTATTAAAGATTCATCAGTTTATTAACAGGTGAAAGTTCGGAATACTGTAGCTTCTAAGTTTACCAGTTTTTCGTTTTTTTTTTCTCTGAAAACATCCGTAGTGTAATACAAATTTCGAATTTCACAGTTTTCAAAAGGACTTCCATGTGCCATCTTCCATTAATCGGTGCCACTTCGTCATTTATGAGTTTCTCAGATTTTCGAAAAATTAAAATTTGTTCAATTTTTGAAGTTTCTTTTCTTGTAAATTTGATGGTAAGATTGTTACCATTGTAATAATCCTAATGTACGAGTATTGGAAATTAAAGCAGAGATAAAAAACACAGTTTCAATAACTAGTTTGAAGAAGTTTGGAATTGTGTGACTAATTGGTGTTTCTTCAAGTCGCCTATAAAAATATTGCTGTTTCAAAGTCTTAATTGTAGGTGCTTCACAGAGTTCCGGCGCTCCTATAGCAATTTTTGTTAGGTTAATCAGGGGTTCCAACAACTATTTGTCTCTTACTACTGTATAAGCAAAAATCGTTCACCGTATTTCCTCTAATAGGAGTATATCAAAACCATCAACTTTGAGCTCAATTATCTCGGTTCCTCCAAAAGATATAAAAAATGAGTCAATTGATAAAGTATTGGTGATGTTATGATAAATATTTCATCAGTTGGCCACTTTCTGATGTATTTTCTAATAGGCGAATTATATGGGCTCAAAGTTTACTGACTTTGAGTGGGCTTCTATCAGAGAAAATACGGTATAAGTTGCTACCCCTAAATAACCCTATCTTATTAGCTGTAGCAGTTAGTTTAAAAAAAATTATAATTCTGCGTTTTATGAATTACAAAAAGTGTTCGTCGTAATCAAATATTTTGCATCCTTGTCCTCTAAACAAGTGTGAGAAGCAACGTTGTAGACACATCTGGTGCCCATCTGGTGACCGTGTATGTTGTTGCTTTTGAGGTCACGTAAGAGAGATTTATAGAATTAGAGATGGTGAAAACTTTTGTTTGTTTCTATTTGAGAACTTTTCACAGCTTCAACTATCCCTTGAATTGATTTTTTTCGAGAATTTCACCATCTTCTGAATCAGAAGTTCTGATGATTGATTCAGATGAGTCATCGTGCTCTCTGGATTCTTCTCCACAAATATCGACTAAAACATTTCGCAATTTAACTTACTGTACAACAAAAAAGATGCTCACCTCATTCGCCAACCCCATCCCAGCCAAACAGTACATTCTCACAACAATAGGATGTGTGTTTGTGCTCGCGATTATATTTCTCGCCTCTGGAAACTAACGGGGTCGTTTGATGACGAATCGGATGGCTCTCGGGAAGAAGTTTCTTCTCTGTTTCTCTGCGTCTCTTCATTTCGTACTGTACTTTTCTAGAAGAAACGTTTATATATAAAACAGTTTGATTTACGACAATTTCGAGTTTCAATCAAGTAAGTTTGTTTTATTTGACGAAACTTGGAATCTTTAATTTTAACGTCGTTCTCATCATGAAAACATTTTCAACCGTTTCAAATGTCTTGTTTTTTGACAGGATTGTATTTCTCACTGATACCTAGAACGAATTCTTTTCAAAATTTTAAAAAACTTTTCTGTTTGAGCAATCTCGCAAATTTCAACTACCGTTCTACTTACAATCTCTGAAAACTTCTTCTAATGTTTTCTTCTCTGCTTCTCTTCTCCCTCTCACACGTTCTCACTCTTCTACTGCTTCTTACAGCTTTTTCTTCTCCATTTTCATCTGCTTCTCATTTTTCAGCGCTTGATTGATCCAAATCGGATCCTAAAACCTCAAAATGTCAAGCCGTGGATACTATCGTGCTCAGGAGGAAATTGTACAAGGTATGCGCATGATACTTCTCCTTCTATAAAAACAATAGAAAAACGAATGACAATAAAACTAGCAAAACTATTATAACAGCAACCAAAAAAGGCATCGAACGGAAATTTGATCGATTTCATCGTGTTGGTGGTTCACTATGCAAATATAAGCAAAACGAATGTTTAGATACTGAAAAATTATATAAAAGTTTTGCATGTTGTGTTTTAGGAAGAGCAAGCCGTTTCACAATTTTTAACCATACTTCCCTTTTATTGCTCTACCTTTAAAACCTTCAAAATATTTCACTGTTTCAATAAGTAGGTTTCTAAATAATTGCCTATTTTGAATGATACCACGAATGAATAAATCCTCTTTCTACTCACTAAATCATGTAAAAGGAAAATTCTAGGCTGTTGAGATAGTCATAGCCAAAGACTGGTCCAAATTTTTGGGAATTTGTCAAAAAAGAATACAAATTCCCAAGTACTGTAAATACTCTGATAGAAGATCGCCCTATACGTTCTCTTTGAGCTCAATTATCTCATTTTTGGTAAGAGATATCAAAAAATGGTCAACTGAAGAAATATAGGTGATATTATGATAAGCATTGGGTCAGTTGTTGTGACTGTTGTAGGAGTTGTGATTTGTCTATGCGATGAAATTGCAAAAAACAGAAAACAATTTACTTTTTGCCAGAATCTGAATTTATAGTTCATTCTATCTTTCCTGACTTTGTGTACTCCAAATCCTTTTTTGTTTCCTCTAATCTCTCAATTCTATCATCTTTCTCTTTTCAGTTGTCCATGTCCTCTGGATATATAATCCACATTTTTCAGTTTCAGCTTTCCCACAAGTTTTCATTCTTTAGTTTTATCTTTTTATCTTTTCCTTGGCAAAACTGATCAATAATTTTTCAGCCAAAATTCTCCATCGCGATCCGGGAATCATCGAAGAGAACTACGCATCGAAGCCACCATCGCGACGTTCTTCATCTCATACCAATCCGGATAGTTTGGTGAATCAGAAGCACGCTCAACCACTTCCATCTCCACTTCATAGCCCAGTCAGATCGGTGACCGGATCTTCGAAACACGAATCGCCAAGTGAGGTTTTCTGCATTTTAACTCTGATTACGGTGTGACCTCATTCTAGATTCCGTAAACACCATCATCGAAAAATTGTAGCTTCGAAATGTATTTTCCGTGAAAATTTCGAACGCCACGTAGAGTTTTTCGTGGTTTTTTTTTCATTACCAAAGTTACCCATTTATCGAAACTACAGTAACCCAAAAATGATTCTAGAAATGGCCCCAGCCTCCGAACGTCAACACTCCCGCCAATCGTCAGCATCTTCTGAAGAGGATCTCGGCACTCGTTCAGTTGCAGTTTCAGTTCTCAAAGATTCTGGAACAAAAGTGGAAATCATGCTTAAAGCACATGGTTTGAAAAAGAAGAAGAGTCTGTTCAACTCGCTGGTTACTGTATTCAAGAAGGTAAACTTTTGAAAAAAGAATTCTAAATCTGAGATCTATATTCCAGCCAAGCCAGCCATCTCGTCTGTTGGCGAACGGAAAGTTCACAGAGTTTACATTGACCGAGCACTCGCTTCGATTCCTTCTCGAAGTGAAAACCGACAAAAAGAAGAAGAAGGGAAATGGAAATCGATTGGATACATTCTTATGTGAAGTTAAGAGATTCCCAAGTGATGTGAATCCAGATAGTGCTGAGTTTGAGGTGGGATTTTTTCTTTTTTTTTAATACGAAAAACTTATTTTCAGGTCCTCGAGCCAGCATCCGGAGAAGCTTTCATTCTTCTGACCCTCATCAAAGTTGGAAATCTTTCGACCAACTGGAAGGAATTCCTCGATTCCAATGGAACCATCGATGTCTCAACGATCTAGATCTTAATTCTTAACTGCTTCTTCAATTCTTATCTGTTTTCTTTCTATTTCCTCTCAAAAATGCATACGGTTTGCTACCACTGAATTTCAATTTTGAATCTTATTTTTATCACAAGCATTAATTTCATTCCGTTTTCCGAATAAAGATAATTTCATTCTTCTGTGAAAGAATTTTCAAAAAAACCAATGATCTCGGGCGGGCTCGAACCACCGCACAGGTAGAGGGGGACTGCTGAAAAACTGCTAAATGGCAGCTGAAGAGGCGCAAACTGGCGAATGACTGCTAGTTGGCAGCCGAAGGAGAACTGACGGAAAACAGACTTGAAGGTTTTATTTTCTGAAGAGTTCCGACGAAATTTTTTCTGAAAACTTTGTACAATTTTTGTCTGAAAATGCTGTTCTCTTTTTGCTTCTTTTTCTTCAAAAATCTCGACCATTCGTTTTTAATTGCCGTTTTAGCTGACGAGTTTCGGAATTTCGGTTCGCAACGACACTCCGAAATCCCGCCTGCGCCTTGTTTAGCGACACAAGACTCAACGAATTTCTCGTCTAATTTTCACAGTTTTTTTTCGTTTTTCGAAGTGTTTTCTCAATGAATTTCAGTATTTTTCGCTCAAATTATCGAAATACTGGCATTAGGAAAGCATCAAAAACATTCGTGCACTTTCTTCCTCGCGTTTTAGTTGAAAATGCGAAAAAATCGGTGAAAACTCGTTTCGCAAGTTTTTGCTTCGGAAAGTAACAAATTTAACGTTGCAGAGGTTTTTATGTGATGAGTTGGTGAGTTTTCATATACTCCAAAGCAAAAACTATCGAAATCTCTTAACTTTCTTATTCTGTTGCCGAAAATTCGCCTCGCCGACACTTCGCAAGTGTGATGTTTTGCAAGTGCTATGGAAAGTAACAGCTTTGCAAGGTTCGCGCATGAAAAATTATACGAAAATCTGTTGCTTTTTCTGCTTCCGATCGGCTTTAAAAATATCACATGCGATATGTCGAACTTTTGAAGTCTCTGCTAAAAATGTCGCTAAGCCTTAAACATGTAAAGATTTTTTATATGCCAGTTTTTTTTGGGTGCTCAATTCATGTTACGAACCCATCAATTTTACTTATTCTGAAAGAAAGTCATATAAAAGCGGAAAATACTGTTCAATGAGAGAAATGCTGAGAACCGAAAGAAATTGAAAACGAGAAACGATGAAGGAAAAAAGAACGAAAGGAACGAGAAAAAAATCTTCGCATTTTAAAATTTGAATTTTTATAAAGTTGGAATTTTGCGAAAACACAAAAAGAAAATCGAAGTTCTGTTCCCTATAGAATTTGTGTCTTCTCTCATTCTAATCATAAAAATTCAACTTTGAAAAAATCAGAGTTATTTTTTCAATACAATACACAATCCACAGAAACTATTAGTTTAATAAAGAATTTCTATTGTTTATTACCTGTTTAATGATGAACTGTCAAGAAAGCGCTATCATTTTTGACGGCCCGTCTTCGAGGCGCAAATCGTTGCAGACGGACCGTCGGCGGCGCGCGATTCGACTGCCGACTGTTCGCTTTTCGGCAGTCCGCGCCCGCCAGAAGGCCCGTTTTTCGGCAGTCCCCCTCTACCTGTGCGACCTTCTGTGTGTTAGACAGATGTGATAACCACTACACCACGAGACCACATGTTTCCATAGTAATAATAGGGCGTAGACATGACGGAGGGAACACATTGTAAACAAAGTCTTGCCAGCCGACCTTGATAAACGTCATTAGCATGCTACACTTCCGGCCTGCTTAGTATAGTGGTTAGTACTCCACGTTGTGGCCGTGGCGACGCTGGTTCGATTCCAGCAGCAGGCATTGTTTTTTTTTTGGTTTTTTTTCATACTTGTAACGGGCCGGGCCTGGCTTTTTCCGGAATTTCGGAGGCCCGGCCCGGCCCGGCGGGTCCGTCATTTCACTAGTTTCGAAATTTTCAAAAAACACATAAGGGGGGGACCCTTATGTGATTTTTTTCGAGTTTTTCGATCTTTTTTGATCAGACAGACAAACAATCCGAAATACGAAAAAAAAATGGAAAAAATTATATTGAGAGCTCAAAATTTGGCTCAAAAATACAGAATTTTTGACACCGGGCCTTCCGGGCCGGGCCCGGGCCTTGAAAATTTCCTCAGGCCCGGCCCGGGCCCAGGCTTTGGCGGGCCGGCCCGGAATTTTACAAGTATGGTTTTTTTTGGGTAACTAACCCATATCCAATAGAGTTTCAGTAAGCCGACGTGGTTTTTCTGAGTGACGTGGAAGGAATATTTTCAGAAATCAAAGGGTATCAGCCAAGTGTGTCTCTACTGGACCTATCGGAAAGTTCAATATTTTGATGTGTCAAAACGATTCGAGCATTTTTCAGAAAGTATAAAAGGATGAATAATATACATAGATTCATTCAAAAACGGTTCTTTCTTCGCACTCGACATGCTGTATTTTATTCTGAAGTTTTGCAACTTTTTCCAGAACTTTTTTGTTTCAGCATCCATTTGGAATCGTTCTAGACATTGATGGAGTATTGTTCAAAGGGCGGAACTTGTTGCCACGTGTGAAGGAGGCATTCAGTTTGATAACTGATAAGAATGGGAACTTTGTGGTGCCTACGGTATCGGAAGTTTTTTATGAAATATTCTGAAAGAGTCTTCAGGTGTTCCTAACAAATGGAACGAATAGTACCGAAAAGATCAAAGCAGCTCAGCTCAGCGAGCAACTCGGATTCCGAATTCCAGCTGATCATGTCCTAATGTCTCATAGTCCGCTGAAAATGTTCACAGATCTTCATGATAAACAAGTTCTTGTCGTTGGTCAGAAGAATGCAAGATCCATTGCAAAAGGGTCTGATGTTTTTAGACATCAGCTATACATTTTCCATTTTTTTCAGAGTAGGCTTCAAGAAAGTGACCACAATCGATCAGTTGAAAAGTTGGTTCCCTCATTTGGATTGCACTGACTTCTCTCGAAAAATCGTGGATCCGAAGGAAACGGAAGCGGCACGGAAGAGATTCAAACCAGTTGAGGCTATTGTGATGCTCGGAGAACCATTGAAATGGGAAAGTTCGCTTCAGTTGCTGTTGGATTGTGTTTTGACTCATGGAAGTGAGTAAGCTTTGAATTTTGGTAGCCTATAATTTTTGGTACTAATCTTGGTACTAATACAATTCTCGGCACTGTTTTTCTAATAGAAGCCCATCTGAACCGTCAACTTTGAGTCCAATTATCTCAATTCCTGTAAAAGATATAAACAATTTGTCAACTTATAAAATGTAGGCCATAATATCACCAAAATTTTACCGGTGGACAAACTTTTCATATCTTTCACAGGAATCTAGATAATCGAGTTTAAAGCTGACAGTTTGGATGGGTTTCTTTTAGAGTGTTTGGTATATCATTTATGGGAAGTTAAAAAAGTTAGATGCTTGAAAATTATTTATTCGAAAATGGCCGAGCAGTTTCGACGAAATTAGCAACCATTGAGAAGCATAAAAACGGTATTAAATGGCTGACTTTTTTCCGGAGTTCCGATCAGTTTGCAGAGGTTCTAAAAATCCATAAAGTTTTGTTGACTATTTAATAAAGACTTACGTCTACAACCCAGTCAATGCTATCGAACATTTCAGTGACTTCCTGAAAGACTACCGTTAAAACTGGGACCGCAATTTTGTTAGAGGGGTACTACTTTATATTAATTTCCGAATAAAAAAATTGGAGTTCTAGAAATAGTAATATGCAAAAGCCGATCTGGAATCAGAGGATCTGTGGAATTGAAAAAAATTAGATTATTTGAAAATGTAAATTTTTTGGTACAGTATTTTCTCTATATCAATTTGTTTTAAATACTCCATTCCTTTCACTACAAAAATGATAATTTTAATCTCGGAAAATATACCGTAAACATTCGTAATTTTCAATTTTAAGCCAACCTATGTCGGTCCCTGTGAGAGAATTCAGAAATTGACTAACTGACAAGATGCTTATCATAATATCAGAAACAATGGTCATCTATTAGAGTATTTACGGTGCGCGACAAAATAAATTGAAAACTTTACCGGAGGCGTCGGTTGACCGATTATTTCAATGAAGAATTTCTTGTATTGTTCCAAGATCATTTCCCAGAAAGCCTTGATAGCATTTGCCTGGACACTAGAAAAGACACAAAGAAGAAGAATAACAGTTAGGAATTTCATGATTCTTCGTTATTTAGACCTCGAAGTTGTCCCTTTTATAGTTTCAAACCCAGAATTACGGTATATCTAGCTTGGTCATCTCATATCCCATCAGCTGATAATCATCAATGAAATGATCTTTCGATACCTGGGTTACTGTAGATGTTGGTGATGTATGCTTATGATTTCGAAACTCTCTCACGCTAAAAAAAACTTTCAAAAAACTGCTTGACAGGAATGGACACAATGGTTTTTCCACTGATCGCTGGTGGTCGTCGTCCGGATCAGATTCCGCTTGTCGCCTGCAACGTGGATCTCGTCTGGATGGCTGATGTGGCTTCACAGTTACCACGCATTGGACATGGGGTATTCATTCATACATTGGATTCCATTTATGAGAAGTTGACAGGATACCATTTGCAGTTCACAGCCACGCTTGGGAAGCCAACTGAGGTGAGCAAAATTTACTGTTTCAAATGGTTTTTTATTGTATTTGAAATCAAAAGTTTTCATTCAAAATCGTGTAATTTTTTAGGTCAGCTATCTCCACGCCGCCCACCGTATCCAACGTATCGCCAAAACGCAAAAACTCGGAGACGTCAAGTACCTCTACGTCATCGGCGACAATCCTATGTCGGATGTTCTCGGCGCCCGTCTCTTCGATCGATACCTTCGTCATGGAGGTGTTGGAAGATTCGATCATCTGGATTTGGAGTCATTTGAGGGGAATGATGGAGAGAAACCGAGAGTTCGAACTAGAAATGTCGTCGAACGATGCATTTCGATTCTTGTAGAGACTGGGGTTCATCAGGGTAAGCAATGGGAGTTTTCAACTAAAAATCAGAGTTGTGGCCGTGGTCGAAGGTCCTACAACTACAACTCCAGTAACTTAAAAATATTTTTATTTTCCGTATTTATTGTCTCGTTTTTCAGCAATTTTCGTCGATTTTTCAGCGTTTTTTTCCCCTAAAAAGTCGGAAAATTAAAATTTTGGTGTTATCGCTGTTGAGAAAAAAAGTTGAGAGCGGGATATCTTGTTAAATTTTTGTTAAAGAGCGAATACTACCGTACTTTGAGCCTTTTAATCATTATTATTGTCATATTTTCTCTATTATTCGACGATTTTCGTTATTTTTCTGTGTTAATCTAAAAAAAATAAAAATGACGAAAATTTTCATAAAGGCTATGAAAATTGTCGAATAACTGAGCAAATAAAACTTGAAATAGGCTTAAAGTACGGTATTCGCTCATTTCCGACATGTTTGGGAAAAAATAACTGAAAATCAACTAAGTTCAGGAAAGACTGAGAAAATAAATATGAAAATATAATTATTTCAGGTTACTGTAGCTGTTGGACCTTCTACCACGGCCAACGGCGTTTCTCTTCCACAGCTCGGATTTTTTCGTACCAAATGTTTTTCTTTTCCTTTCAGAAAACGTCCACATGAATGGTGTGGTCAAACCAATTTCCGCTCTGATTGACAATCTTTCAAAAGGAGAACAGCTGATGCTCAATCAGCCAAACTTTGTCGAGTACGACTTGCACGCCGCCATCCGAACCATTTTAAGAAGAGAGTGCTATCGTTAGAACTTGTGAATAAAGCGAATCATATTACGAACATTTGTTATTTAAAAAAAAAATTACTCTGTATTTAATTACCTATGAAGCGGGGGAGAATTTGAAATCGGGACGAAAGGCAAGAATATGAAAGAAAAAGACAAAGTTATTTGTGAAAGGAGGGTATAGGGGAACACTCGAAATTTAGATACAATTGAAAATCGAAGAACAGACTAGAATATACAAGCACATAAAACACTTTAAAAAACAACTATTTTTCCGTCTCCAAATTTGATAAATAGCTAACGGGAAGATGCTGGAATAGAGGATCTCGCATTCGTTTCAGTTGGTTTCGAAGGTCCTCCACTTCATTTACCAGACGATTGTATCGTTCGATGTCAAAGTTCTGCTTCTGTGCTCGACGATAAAACTGTTTGGTGTAGACACGTTCACGAGCTGATGGATATTCAAAGCTCTGCAAATTTCGAATAAATTAGTTCAAGTTCCGATTTCAAGATGCATTATTACCTGTTTAGTGTACAAGTAGTACCCGAACGTTGCACAAACTGTTGAATACGTGGCGAAATAGGTTACAGGTTCCATGATATCCCAAGAGTACTCCCACCAGGTTAGCCGCGCGAATAGACCTGGAATAAAAATTGTTTAAAAAAATGGAAACTTTCCATTCAGAATACCAGTCTGCACTCCCATCGCCGCAAATCCCGCCCACATGACTCGATCCGTGTGAGCTTCACACTCCTGTTCGATCTTCCGTTTCGTTTCGTGCAGGGGGGCTAGAAGCGCTTCGGCGTTCTCCAGTTGGAGGAGAAGCTTCTTTTCACGGGACAACTTATACTCATCGACACAGAGAGCAGCGTGTAGGGAGGCGACAGTGGCTCGGAGGTCGTCCAATTGGCGGAGCCTGAATTTTTCATTGATTTATTATTCTGGTACAAAAAATAGGGCGCACTTATCACTATCATATGGCGTCGTTCCCGTTTTGGGTACTGTCACATTGAAGAACTTGTCGTTAAGGCGCAAACGGAACGTTCCGAATTGAAGGAGGTGCTCAATAGAAGTGCATGTGGCTAGTTTCACTCCATCTGAAACATGAAACGGCGGTCTTTGAATTCATTTTTTTTTTTGCAAAAGAGATATCTTACTGGTTCCATAAACGGCCACATAGTCGATTCCCTTGTCTTCCTGCCGCAGAAAATTACAAAGTGATCCAACTGTATCACTCAACGGTCGCATTGTGAATTGACACGGCTCGTTTCGAGAAGGAAGTGGAACATCGAGAAGAGGAAGTCCATATTCGAAGCGGATGGATAGTGGCTGAGATTCTTCTTGAATCGGTGGAGTGCTTGAAGAGGCGACGGATGAGGAGAAGGCCTGGAATTCAAAATTTTGATTAATTTTCAAATGGAATTTAAAATATTACCAATTGTTGTCTATTCCATAGTGTGTTCCTAAGACTGGCGAGCTTTTGTGCAGCGACGAACGACTTCACCAGTCGTCGGCCATTCCTCATTTGTGGGTGGTTGTTGACCCTGAAAAACGGAAGTTTCTAAATACTTTTCGTCGGTTAAGATTAGTATTTTAGTCGTTGTTCTTCTCGTTTTCTTCTTATCAAGAAGTAGGACAAAAACCTGTTTCGGTAAGGGAGTGACGTGGAATGAGAGGAATAGAGAGAAAAAGAGAAAAATACGTACAGAAAATGACATACACTCATTCGAGTGATGGAGAAGAACAAAAAGAAGAGAGAAGGAAACGTTTACGAATTCTAATTATATTCCCTTGGGAGGATTGGTCAAGCCACAAGCCAATTGAGAAAAATGAAACAAAAATCGATGATTTTGCTTGCTCGGCGCCCATCCAAAAAAGCAAACAGAAGACCCCGACATTTCCGAGGGCGAAAAACCCAAACCTGACTTTTTGACACCTCTGCAGAACTCTGAAGATTCCCAAAATTGTAGTTAGAATTTTCTCTTTTTGACGAGAAAATTGGATTCCCGATGTGCAATGTAAAAGGCAGGTGTTTGAGAGGGTGTATAGTGAGTGGAGTTGATTTATTATTTGTATACACTCCCAGCGAAAATGGAAAGAATTGAGGTGTGAAAACCACAAAAATTGTGGCGACAGAACTGAAAACAAGGGATTTGGGAGAGTAGAATGCAAATGGGGTTATACTGAATGGATGAAGGAAAAGAAATACCAAAAATTGGGACTTGAATTTCTCTGAAAAACGGGATTATTCAAGATTTTAGTCGAGAAAAATTGCTGAAAAAAGGAAAAATGTGGCAGGACTACGGTAGGCAAGAAGTTGTGTATGCGTATCTGAAACAACGAGCTTTTGCGGAACCAAATTTTTTGTTGAAAAATTTGCAAAGTTCCTCATAGAATTCTCATCAAAAATGCCGTCAAGAACAAATGTGAGTTGTTTTGCTCTATTCAAAAATTCAATTAAACTAGAGACTCGTAGTGTTCTTATGGAAAAACCTTACCAGGAAGCCATAAAATGTCGGAAAAGGGAAAACGAAAAAAAATATGAGACCAGTCTCCGGGTAGAAATTTTGTGTGGCGGGAATGTGTCCGACGAAGAACAAAATTGGACGACTTCCCGTCTTCCTCCTCTTCCAGTGGCTCATTTTCTCCGTCTCTTTGTCTTCCGAGTTATTTATCTCGCTTTCCTGAGATCTTTTTCTTTATTTTTGCTTCAATGGGAAAACACGGACGGCTCCATTCAATGATGAGATGAAGTAGGTCTTCCTTCCTCCGTTCATATCTTTCCTTTTAGTTTTTTCTCGAAGAAGAGAAACGATGAAAAGTTATGTTGTTTTGTGTAAAATGACGACAATTGGCAGAAAGTTGGTACGGGGATGTGGGAGATAGACGGAAAGATCTATAGGATAAAAACAGAAAAAAAAACTAAAGAAGAAGAAATTGAAAAGGTTAAATCACAAGAAGAGAGATGATATAGGTTGAGAGGAGAGATAGGAGAGAAAAACAAAAAGTGAGTGATGAGAGAAAGATAATTAACGAAATTAGAGTTTTTTGTGGTTTTGAAATTTATGGGGTTATTCAGGTGAGGCGAAGGTAAGGCACACATGAATTACCCCATAATACACATTGAAGGCTCAGAATTCGAAATTTTTGGGATCTAAACCTCAATTCTCATATTCCAGTCTGGAATTTCTAGGGTTTCTAAACGGAACCAGAAGAACTGAAGCGTTTTCTAAAAGGTCTAAAAAGGAACAAGGTTTCCCCCACTCAAAAATGCATGGGTTCTCCTCTTCAAAATGTCCTTCCTCTTCAAAAAGCTGTCACCCCATGGCCGAACTCTTCGCGAAACCTAGGCCACCTACGCTTGGACATTTTCAATATTTGCAGCGAGATTTAAAATTTTCTCTCTCCTTCTTCTCCGCTTCATTTTAATCTTAAAAAGATCAAGCAGCACAACACATCAAACGGGAGGACTCTCCCTGAGGGCAATCAGTTGTTTATCTCTCCTTCTTCTTCTCGTTTTCCACTCTCTCTACTCCTGCGTCTCTCTAATGGCTCTATTATACTCGTTTTCTTCTCCGAGAGGCAGTCCGTGTATCTTGTTTTCTTTTTCGTGTTCTTCGCTTTTTTGTTCTGATGTTTTTTGTGTGTTCCCTCTCTAGGTTTCATGAATGTTTTCTGGATTCCAGGACCACAAAACATGAAACATTCTCTTCTGAAATCAATCTTACCGATTTGTCGTTTTTTGAGAGAGCTAACTAGTCAGAAAAGAGCAAGCAAAAGTATTCTTGATTGCGTCATTCGGTGTAGAATTTCGGCTAGGAACCCAGGCTGACCTCTGTCTGCGTCTCTTCTCCTCTTGCCTTCTTTTTCCGGAAGTTTTGATTGAATACTCGTTGATATACAACTACAAATCTAGCTCTGCTCAACCTTCCCAACCTCTCAAAAACCCTTTTTTCAGAGCGATATGGAAATTCCACCTGGCCTCGAGACGACGAAACGAAAAGTGGCACACAGTGATGAGCACGGATTCTCAGGTAACCTAGAAACCCCTCCTCTGAATTCATTTCAACCCCGTCAGACGATTTAGATCAAGTTCGAGTGCCGAACGTCATCGTGATGGTAGGACTACCAGCACGTGGAAAGACGTACATCTCAAAGAAGCTGTGTCGATATTTGAAGTGGACTGGATTCAAGACAAAAGTATTCAACGTTGGAGAGTATCGACGAACAGATGCAAACGCCGCGGATGCGATTCACGGAGCCAACGCGTCGTTCTTTTCTCCGGATAATGCGGAAGCGTTGAAAGTCAGAACGTACGTTTTCGTAATTTAGATATACCTAAATGTTTGATTTCTGATGACCTTTTGAGATACGGTCATACTTTATATCACTATCTTATCTTTATGGGACTGTACCACATGACATCAGTGACAAGATAGGGATCTTTCGAAGAAATCGGAACGTCTAGAAAAAAGTACACAAAATAATGAAAAAAAAACAGACAGCTAATGGGGGTATGGTGAGGCAAAAAACCGGAAATTCCAGCCGAATTTTCAAAGTGGATGTTTTGACCCCAAATTTCGGCAATACGTTCCCTGTAGTTTTCTTCAATTTTTCCCGAAGTTTCAGCAAGATTAGTTGATTTTCCGAGTTTTCGCGGCGTTTTTTTTCCAGATTTTTCGCTTCACCTGAATAACCAAAAAAAAACGTTTAAAAAATTAAATAACGCTTTTTTTCAGTGAATCTGCTCGACGCGCTATGGAAGATATGGCGGACTACCTAAACTCTGGCACCGGGAGTGTCGCTATCTTCGATGCCACCAACACTACCAAGGATCGTAGAAGCATCATTATCGACTTCTGCAAAAAGAAACGACTTCGTTGCTTCTTCATCGAATCTGTCTGCGACGATCCAGCTATCATTGACAGCAATGTTACTGATGTGAAGGTTAATTCGCCAGATTACAAGGGACTTATGACTGCTGAGCAAGCGAAAGAAGATTTTATGAACAGAATTGAGAACTACAAACGACAATACGAACCATTGGAAGAGTCAGAGCACGAGTCGCTAAGTTTTATCAAAGTTATCAATGCGGGACGATCATTCAAGGTTCATCAAGTCAGAGGGCATGTGCAGAGTCGAGTTGTCTATTTCCTCATGAATATTCATCTTCTACCCAGAAGCATCTATCTGACCAGGCACGGCCAATCCGAATACAACGCAATGGGACGACTCGGTGGAGATTCTCCACTCACCGAGGACGGAAGAAAGTATGCAGCTGCTCTGGCAGATTTCTTCGAGGAAGAGGAAGTGCCTGGACTCCGTGTCTGGTGCTCTCAGAAAGTACGTGCCGCGCAGACAGCTCAACATCTGAAACCAGACTTCCACACTGAATACTGGAAGGCTTTGGATGAGTTGGATGCTGGAATTTGCGAAGGATTGACGTATGAGGACATCCAACAACGATATCCAAAACAGGCAGATGATAGAGCAACAGATAAATATCATTATCGTTATCCAAGTGGAGAGAGTTACGAAGATGTGGTTAGTCGATTGGAGCCAGTTATTATGGAGTTGGAGAGACAGGTATTTTGAATTCAGCTTGAATTTCTCATGTTTTGAATTTCCAGGCCAACGTTCTCGTTGTTTCCCACCAAGCAGTTCTTCGGTGTGTACTCGCCTATTTCTACGATCGCCCCCTTTCCGAACTTCCATACATTGACATTCCACTTCATTCCCTCGTCAAACTGACTCCACGTGCCTATCACTGCGATTCAACCATCTACGCACTCGACCTGGATACACAGGAATGGACCGAAACCAGTGCTCAACTTCCACTCTGTGACAGCCCAAGAGACTAAAATTATTCATTTTATTGGTTCTTGTTGTATATTTCGAAATCCCCTGTCTTCGCATAGATTTCTGCATTTCGCCCTGCTTGTATTATTTTCTATGTAACATTTTTGATCCTTCCTTTTTTATATGTTGTACGAGTTTCTCAATTTTTGCCCAAAGATATATTTATGAGTTTTTATCATAAAAATTTTTATTAAAATGCAACAGAGACCAGCTCGGTTAGATATATTATGCATTAAAACTACTATGTGACCGTAAATCGATATAAAGCTAGTCATGGGGGACAAGATAAAGAATGACTGAATGTGTAAGGCAATACTGGGTGAGCGGGGAAATCAGGGGTGTCCGGAATATTTCGATTTTCAAAGCTTCGGAATTTTTATAAATTTGAATTTTGAAGTCGAAAAATCCGATTTTCTTATCAAAAAAGCGCGGAAAAGTGGTGAAAATTGAGCAAAAGACTTCAATAACGGACAAAAAAAGAGCTACAGTATGTCAAAGGCGCATGCGAACAATTCCCTTGCGGGTATCGAACGGAATTACTTTTGATTTTTTAGGCATTTTCGAATTTTTTTTCGCTCACTTTCACTCATTTTTCCGCGATTTTGTGGTTGGAAAACGGGATTTCTACTGTAAAATTTGATTTTTTTTAAATTTCGAAAAAAGCTTCGGAATTCCGTTCCGAACATCCCTGGGATAAAAAAACGAGAATATTAACATGAAAAAAGGACATTTACAATTGTTAGTTTGATTGCAGAGGTTGATATTTACATCACCAATGTTTCTTTTCACTGGTTTTTGGAAGTTTGTGATCATCAAGATGAAGTTGATTGAAAGCTGGCGAGCCAGTTCGAGCCAACGACGGGCGGAGCGGAGATCCGGAAGTTCCAGGGCTTTCCTTTTTCTTCGTTGGACTCGGCTTCTTGCTGCTCTGGAAATAAATAATTCATTCGAATATTCTCCTTTTTATTTGAAAAACCTTCTTGCTACTTTTCTCCTCGTCACTGCTGCTATCATCGAACTTCTTTGTTGGCGCATCAGGCTCCTCGAAACTATTGAACGGGCGGAGTTGGGTGGAAATCGAGCCTTGCCTTCCTTTTGGAGGCTTATCCATTTGCTCAGTTCCACGTCTTCGTTGATTGTGACTTGTCGATGGAGCTGTACTCATTGCGCTCTCCATTTCAGCATCTTTCGGACGGAGCAGAGGAAGTACTGCATTCATTTGTTTCAAAGTTCTAGGAGATTTTCATACAATTCGCTTAGGCTCACTTCCGACAACTTACGCTCGCTGAGCCTCAATTTCAATGTAGCTCTTGAAAAGTGCCGCGGTGAGCTCGGTAGTGAAAACGACGTCGGCGTGTTGAGCGATGAGTTGGAGAAGGAAAAGACCGTCAGTGCCGAGGTAGAGACTGATGAAGCGGTTGACGTGTTCACGATTTTCTGGAATAATAAACGGTTCTTCAGAGGCTTCGGTTCAGAAAATCATACTTATATCATCTTTATCAAAAGGAGCTTCACACATTTCGAGATGATTCAGGATGAAATGCTCGTTATAGGTTTGATTAAATACTGCAAAGAGCCAAGAGAAGAGGTTTCCAACGGTGAAAGCACCAAGAAGGATGTACCATGCCCACAGAAAAACAAAAATTTTCTCGGTGAATAGATTCAGGAGAAGAACGCATTGGACTGTGTGCATTTGCACATTTCCCATGTCTCTTGTCTCAAAATCACAGAGAGTGACACGCGGAAAGACTCCGCTTTCTCTCCAGGATTCATTTCCGTTTCCACCGTAGAATATCGACTTCCACATATCGAAACCAAAGTTTTGTTGACGATCATGTGGAAGCATGTATCTGAAAATCGATATTATTCATCGAAACCAGACTTTTTCTCGTACTTATTCAACAAGTTTGATTGTAAGATGACGTTGAGCAAAAATGCGACCTTCGCCACGAAGTAGATGAAAGTGACGTAGTAGGCCGAGTACTTGATGTTTAGAAACCGAAGAATCTTGTGTGGAACTATCTTTTTCTGAATAAAAATGTTCCTTTTTCTCTAACTTCAGATTTCAATACTAACCAATTTTAATCGTTTCTGAAACCGTAGCACTCCTCGTAAATGAATGCACAATGCATCGATATTCGCTTTTTTGACCATCGGAACTGCATTATTTTCATCGGAAGCTACTCGCAAAATCTCGCCAACTTGCATTCCGCTTTGACTGGCAAAATATTTCCAGATGAAACAGGGTAGACGAAAACAAGCTGCTTCGAAAAGAAGAAAGAACGACATCCATTGATAATAGGAAATCTTTTCGCCGCCTTTCTTCACGAATCGCGGAACCGGACCTCTTCCTCCGACTGTGATTCCGTCGGCGACTACATCCGCTGGATCAATGACTTGCTCTACAAGCTCACTCGTGAAGGGTATGAAATACGTCGGTTGAGCCCAGCAATAATTGTTCGAATATTGTACCCAGGCGCTTGTGAAATCCAACGGAACCATACATTCTATGGGCGTGCCACCGAACTGCTTCCAAGAAATTAAGACAGCTAAGCCAACGAGAAGATTCGACGTGAGGAAGGAATGGACACTGGCTACTAAATCCTTAGCTCCAGTCCTATTGGTGTATGGCACCGTGTTAAGGACACGGAATACAAACATCTAAAAAAAGGATGTGCTCTTGGGACAACTTAAAGTGCTCTAGATACTCTTCGAGCTGATCATGTAACGGTTAATATGCGATGTAAATTCAAGAAAACCAGGTAAACGTTTTGACGTTTATAAAACATCAAATAAATCAACAAATTATTCGACGATAACGTCAGCCTCCTTGGTGGCGCGGGTGTACACGACTTGTCCGTGGTGGTGAACGACGCACTTGACGAGTCCCTTAGCCTGGAGCTCCTTAAGTCCGGCCTTAGCCAAGGAAGCGCGAACCTTCAGGCGCTCAGACACGACCGATGGAGTGATAAGCTTGTAGGTGATGACCTGAAAGCAACAGATTTAAAACGTGCTAAATGATGAGAATGCATGTTGTCAGATTCAGTGTAAATATAAGAAAAACTAAACAAACCTCCTTGTAAAGCTTGTCGTAGGTGGCCTGGTCGAAAAGCACCATATTGTTGAGCTTATCCCTGACCTTTCCTTTCGACCACTTCTTCTTCTTGGCCTTTCCTCCTCCGGATCCTTCCTTCTTCTTGGCTGGGGGAGCCTTGCCTCCCTTTGGGTCCTTCTTTGGGGGCATTTTACCTGAAAAAAACGTCAAATTAGATGGAATTACTCAAAGAAAGGTAATGAAAATAAAAATATTCGAGCACAAACAAAATTACAAAGCGATTTCCAAGCTGAAAAATATTTCCGGCTAAAATTTGTAAACCGGTCGAAAATGGCAAAATCACTATCTTTCAGCTTTTTTTAATCGAAGATCTACATAATTTCAGTACAAAATTGGAGGAATAACACTGAAAAAAGATCGAAACCGAGAAGAAACACAAAAAACTTTTTGGGATTGGAGAGAAAAATCGAAGAGGCAGTGCGGCGGGTGTGATACGGTGGAGGAGCGTGGCGAGACCCGACAAAGAAATTCGACGCGCCTTTAGATGCATGCGTCTGTCGTCTCTCCTGCCACAGCACTCTCTCGCCAAAAATTTGAATTCAGCAGAATTTGTTGTTTGAAAAGCATTTTTTGCGATAAAAATCAAGAAGAAAGATGATTTTCATGTCGAAATTGCAATTTTTGTGGTCAGAAACTTCCAACAATGTCCGCAAGCAAAATTTGAGCAACAGTTGAACAAAAAAAGAGAGACACATTTCTCCTGCAAAGCGAATCAGAAAAAAAAACGAACTAGAAAAAAATCGTTTAAAATTTAGAGGAAAAACAATGGGAGTCATTAAAATTGATTTTGGAACCATACAAGTTTCAATATAATACAAAACAAAGAATAAAAAATTGGGAAGGATTCTAAAAGTTCAAATTGAAAATTGTGACAAGAAAGGCAAATAGTAGGAAAAAAATACAGGGTTTTATTCAAAATTCAACATGTTTACAAGTTATGTTTACGAATCGAAAACTAAATATTGAAAAAAAAACGAAAAAAAATTTCAAGGGGTGGAAAAAATTGGGTCAAAGTATTTTAGAGCCGGGGCATTTTGAAATTCTTGTCCTTTTCTGAATATCTTATATTCCTCTCCAGATGGGTCACCAAGCCGGGGAAGCGCCCTGAAAAAGTCTGCAAAAGGACACAACAAAAAAGTCTATCGCAACACACTTCAACCGCACTAATTTGATGATGTCCACATACAAAAAAAATTTGGAGGAGGCGATGGACAAATAGAGATATATATATATGTATAAATGTACCTGTCGTGTTTCATTTCTTTCGCAACATCATTTTTTTGTCTCCTCTCATTTCTCCGAATTTCACAATTTATGAGGTGGGAGAGGATGGGAGTCATTGACCTAAAAACTGTGTTTTTTACTGTACAGACACCGACAAAAAAAGAACCAGAGACTTTGGTGGATTTTATGTTTTTATATGTATCGTGGTTGTCAAATCCTGCATGTCCATCCTGTAGCCAGTCTCTAGGTATCAACTTTCACACGTTTCTCATTCCAATTCACTTTTTCTCTCTCATTTTTCTCTCTCGTTTTTCCCGTTTTCATATTTGCTCAGTTTTGTACTATTAGTTGAGCTGTTTGTAGGTGAAATATAGAGAGAGAGAATGCCATTGTTCCCTCCTCCTCTGTGTTTTTTCCATTCTTTCCGATTTTTTTGCAACCATTTTTGGGGTTTCGAAATCTTACTGTATTTACTCCTTCTTTCTCTCCCTTTTGCCTCTTTTTTTTGTATGGCTTATGATGAGCGAGGGTCGGGTCACAACACAAAATTTATTCTGATTATGGTAATTTTGTAACAGTGGCGCCCAAACAGACAAATAGATACATCATGTGTTCATCCAATTTAGCTCTGTTTTTGATGTTTTTTTTTTTCGAAAATTTTTAAAATTCACTGTTTCAGATATGCAACAAAAAATTAAAGAAACGCTTCTTTGCAATCCTGAAGTTTTTGTTTTTATTATGATAATTTGAACATTCTGAAGCTACCAACTCCTCAATTTTCGTACAAGGAAATTTTCAGAAATCAGAAATCGACCTCATTTCAAAATATTTATTTTTTAAAAATGCACGCTCTCCCACAGAACAATTCCGAACTGCAAATTAATTTTTGATCTACAGAAAAAAGTTTGGCGCGATCACAATTGCAGGTCTAAAACCATAATTTCAGAATTTTTAACTGATTTTGTGGAGTTCCAAGATGATTCAAATAATTCTAAAAAAATTAATTAGTGGTTATAGATTCATGTATGGTCGTTTTCCGGAAGAAAACATATCAAAAATGGTCATTTTTTAAAGTTTTTTACAGAAAAAATCTATCTCCTCTTTCAGTTTTTGACATTTCTAGGAGTTCTATATTTCAAAAAACCCGCAATTATTTTCTCTACATTTTCTATGGATGAATTTTTAATTCGTCTGGCAAAACTTTTTTTATAATCAAAAACCTCATGAAATTGCACAAAATAGCATTTTTGAGTTGTAGAGAAAATAATTGCGGTTTTTTTGAAATATAGAACTCCTAGAAATGTCAAAAACTGAAAGAGGAGATAGATTTTTTCTGTAAAAAAACTTTCAAAAATGACCATTTTTGATATGTTTTCTTCCGGAAAACGACCATACATGAATTTATAACCACTAATTAATTTCTTAAGAATCATTTGAATCATCTTGGAACTCCACAAAATCAGATAAAAAATTCTGAAATTATGGTTTTAGACCTGCAATTGTGATCGCGCCAAACTTTTTTCTGTAGATCAAAAATTAATTTGCAGTTCGGAATTGTGCTGTGGGAGATCGTGAAATGTTCTACATGATTACAACATTTCTATGTTGCCTTTTTTGTACCATACTTTTGTAAGTAAAAGTTCAGAAAGTATAACAGTAAACACTCTAACAGTAGGTCACCCAACACTTGCACTTTGAGCACACTTATATCCATTTCTATAAGAGATATTGAAAATGTGTCAACTGATAAAATATTTGTGATATTATGATAAACATTTTATCAGTTGGCAATTTTTGATATATCTCACACCAATCGAGATAAATGAGCTCAATGTTGGCAGTTAGAGACCTTCTACAGCTTTTTCGGTACATCAATCTAAAATATAGAAAAGTGCTTGATTGAAGCTTATGATGTTACTATTAGTGCATTTGAGGTTTTGCGGTTCTTCAATTTTGATCAAACCCCGCCCCTTTTTTTCAGAATTGAAAGATTTTAGCTAAAATAGAGCTCACTGTTGATTTGAGCATGCAGGACTGTTTGAAGTTTAAAATTTTCCAAAAAAAAAAAGAAATTAAATTTACACAGTCTGCATTCAGATACCGTAAAACCATCCAATATCAACTTTGAGCCAATTTATCTCGTTTATTCTCACAGATATCAAAAAGTGCTTAACTTAATAAAATTTGCTTTTAATATCATGTTTTGTTCATTGAAAATTTTTCGATATCTCTTACCAGAACGGAGATAAATGTGTTGAAAGCTAAGTGATGGGTTCTTATATTAGAGGTTTTAGGGCTTGTCAAATTTGAAGATTCTGGAAACTTCCTGCTAGAGGTTTTATAATATTGATCAAATTTGTTCAACCGGAATTAGGATTTCTTTTGGATAAATGTACAGTACCGAAACATGATCTGACTTTCAGAAGATGCATTTTCAAAAACTGTGAGCAAGAATGTTTGAGCAAGCATTAACTTTTATATATTCCATTTTAAAAACAATGAAAGTGAAACAGAAAACTTTAGTACATAGTTGTTTCCATGCTCTCATCTCTTTCTTGTCACAAACATATTGTTCCATTTTTTCTCTTTTGCTGTCCCATCATATCCCCAATGTCCCTTTTTTCCTCCCTTTTCCATGACACTCCAATTCGTAACCCGATACTTCTTGTCACAAGTGTTTCTCTTTTTTCTTTTTTCCCTACTTTATCCTATTCCAGTACTACATATTCCCATTCTTTTTCTCAAACTTTTCTACATGTTTTTTCGAGAGTGCACACTCCAATTCTACTTCCGTTCCTCCATCACTTTTCTCTCATTTCTCTTTTTTTCTTCAAAAAAAAAAAGAACCCAAGAAAATGTGCAAAAATGTGAGAGGAGCAGCCAGTAGTCAATCATTGTCTCTTCTAGGATTAACGACCACTTTTTTCTTGCTTTTTGAGCAAAAAAAGAAGTTCTTTTGAAGAAAGTGCACTTGATCTATTCCCTTTCCCTTTTCTGGACAAAATTTTCCAAAAATTCCATTGGGATTCGTTTCATTTGAATAAATTCATTGATTCTTCTCTCGTCGTCCCCACTTGAAATTTCGAGACCAAATGGAACATGTCATGGCCCCCGTTCGGGGGGTCAATTTGGAATTCTGATGAGCAGAGAGTTGCCATATAAGATTTTTATCTTTTTTTTCCTTCACAAATTCCGGGGAGATTGGGATTCGTCAGTAATGTACTTCATGAAGTGAAGGAAGTTTCAGATATAGTTTGAATTAAACTCACTGAAAAACGTTTCATAGTTTCCATTTTTACATCTTCCAGAGCCAAAAATGTTA